CTAGAAATACTCCTAAACAAATGCTACATTCACCACTAAAGAGACTGTAAGCCAGTAAATAAATCAGGGGCCAAGAGATTTAGTATAGTGGGTAAGGAGCTTGCCTTGCATTTGACCAAACCCAGTTTAATCCCCAACACCATACATGGTACCCTGAGGACAGCCCAGAGTGATCCCTGAGCACAGAGTTAGGAGTAAATTCTGTGCACTGTTAAGATGAGGATAAAAGGTAAAGGCCCTCCCGTTGATCATCGATTTGCTCGAGCGGGCCCAGTAACGTCTCCATTGGAGACTTTGTTGTTACTGTGTCTGGCATATCGAATACTCTCGGTAGCTTGCCGGGCTCTCCGAGAGGGGCAGAGGAATCGAACTCGGGTCGGCATGGCCGCGTGTAAGGCGAACGCCCTACCCGCTGTGCTATCGCTCCAGCCCAAGATGAGGATAGAAAAAAAAAATTAATTAAGTAATTAAATGTGTAGCATATCTATTTAAGGAAAATACAACTTCCAAAGCAGATGAAAATTTTTAGAAGAAACAATATTTACGAAGTTTAATAAAAATACCACGTTATTTGGGCTGGAGCAATAGCATAGCGGGTAGGGCGTTTGCCTTGCACGTGGCCGACATGGGTTCAATTTCTCCATCCCAATAGAAGAGCCTGGCAAGCTACCAAGCGTATCCCACCCACATGGCAGAGCCTGACAAGCTACTATGGCATATTCAATATGCCAAAAAACAGTAACAAGTCTCACAACGGAGACGTTACTGGTGCCTGCTTGAGCAAATCGTTGAACAATGGGAGGACAGTGCTACAGTGCTACCATGTTATTTGCAAAATATCAGAGACTTAATTGTTTTAGGATTCTCTTTTTGTTTTGTTTTGTTTTAAGCTTTTCTTGAGTCTTTGGCAGAGACTCAACCTGAATAATATAATTTTTAATTAACCAGATGTATTATTATAAAATTTTGTAGAATACAAAAACAGTTAAAGAACTTAAAATCACATTGCCTCTGTATATAAGCTGAAAGGGAAAACATACATCTATACCAACACTAATATAAAGGAATGTAAAAACAACATTAAGAAAATATAAAAACAACATTAAGTGTCTATTAATAGGAAATTGCTCAAATAACATGAAATATTCATAGGGTAGATTCATCAGTCCCCTTGAAAGAACTGAGAGTTCTGATATGAAAACATGTCATTATATGTCATGAGACCGAAAGCAATCTGCAGAAGAGTGTATGTAATTATATCAGTGGTATATACTTATAATGCTTTATAAATTGTGTATATGTGTCACAAAGGAAAACTTATGAATTTAACAGACAAATTTCTCAACAGCCAGTTTTATTTCTAGTATCAAAAATATTGTCATCTAATAAGAGAAAATAAAAGCCATTATGTTTAAAAATCTAGACAGGGCTGGAGAGACAGCCCAAGAGCTGGCGGCATCCCTTGCATCCACAAAACCCCGAGTGGCATTGCCAGGTGCCCTGACCATGAACTGCCAGGGAACCCTAAGAGTGGGAGAGGTGGGGTGGGGGCCAAACAGGGATGCAACATGGAATCTGCACACTGAACCAATGGGCCTTCATGGCTGGGCCCATCCTCAGGAACCACTAGCACTGCAGGGAAGCCCCCTATTAAGACATCTCTATAAAGTGAACCCTTCATCATAGCTCATATTATATTTCCTTTCAGAAAAAGTTTATGTTGTGTAATGGAAAGTAGGCAGGAGCCTCTACAAGTCAGCACTTCCGAACAGCCAGCACGTGACTGATGGTCACAAGGCTGTAGATTCCTACCACACTTGCTTTCAAGCAGCAAAGGTGAAACTGTACTCATGGATCTGCTATATTTCCTTTAATTCTAGTTATTTGGAAATGACTGGTCTATTAAATACATGGTAACTTTCGCCTAGTCTGATCTGTAACAAAGTAATGATGTGAAAAAACTAAAGAGGGGCTGAAGCTATAGATAGTACAGTGTTTAGGGTGCTTGCCTCTCACATTACCCACCCCAGGTTTGATCCAGGGCACCCCACATGGTCCCCTGAGCCCGCCTGAAGTGATCACTCAGCATAGACCCCGGAGTAAGGCCTGAGCACAGCAGGGTGTGGCGCCCAGACCCTAAACTGTCAATTACTCATGACACATTTCTCTATGGCAGTTATATTTCAATTAAAAATAGGAAGACTTGGGGAAGAGGGTTATTACAGGAAGTAAGGTGCTTGCCTTGCATCTGGCTGACCTTGGTTCAATCCCTGGTTCAGCATACAGTGAACCAATAAGTTTCCACCGGGCATGATCCCTGAGCACAAAACCAGGAGACGACCCTTTGCAACATAAACTGGTATACTCAATTTTCCTGGCCACTCAAATTCTAGGTATGCCATATGTGTTAGGCATGTAAAGGTGTATCATACATCAAAGAACATAAAACAATAGGAAGAAAGTGATAAGAGACAATTATGACTACATATTACCCTTATTAACCTTATTACCTACTTTTCTAACCAACGGTCAACTTGAAAAATCATTCAAATGATTTATGAGGTAAGGGAATGACTTTATGGGGGAAGTGTTGGTTGATTTAAAAAATAGACTAAAACTATATGGGAATATATAAATTAGGAAACATTATTTTAGAATGAGCCAAGTCAATTCTCCAAGACTTCCTTTAGTCTTTTGGGTTTTGTTTTTCTTTTTCAGTTGGAAGATGCACAATCAGTCTGCTCAGGGCTTACTCCTGCCTCTGTGCTCAGGTATCAGTACTGGTAGGGCTAGGAAGGGCCTCATAGGGTGCCAGCGGACCAAACACGGTCAGCCAAAGGTGCCCGATCCACTATACGATCTCTCTGGCCCAAACTCCTTTAGTTTTTAACAGCACACCAATTACTGACATTATCCTCTCGTTATTACACTTTAGTTTACCAAAACTAATAATGCCTCATTATTATTTTAATCCATAAAACACTCAAAATAAACTCATCCTTAGGACAGAAACAAACCTAGGCCATACAAACATTGTGCCAGGAAGTTGCTTAATGCTGGGAACATAAATACATGAGTACGAGTGGGTCAAAAAAGAGGCTAGACAATGGAATGAAATCATCCGGACTAAATTGCGGATGATATATAGGTTATTCCCTTTCTCATCTTCCTCATCTACAACACAGAAATAACACCAGCAACAATGAAGGTTCTAAGATGTTTAACAATAATATAAACAAGGTCCCTAGAACACAGCACCTGGCCTATACTAGGTTACAAAGAATGCCACATACAAATTATCTGCCTTGGTTAACTAACCAAGGAACTATCTTGGTTAACTGCCTTGGTTAACTAACCAAGTGTAACTACAACTACACCTCAGGCATTGCCTTCATTTTCTGCTGTCAACCTTGAGATAGCTTCAAACTTTTAATTCAAATTAGACAGCAAACAAATAACAACTATGTGCAGGGCACTCTACTAATTATATGGAATATTTCATTTCGTCCTCATCATCACAACCCTGGCATCAACAAGGAGGGAACTATTATTAACCTACTTTTGTAGATTAGAAAATATAGGTTTAAAAAGAAGAACTCGCCCACGGCCACACACAGGGAGGCAAACCTGGGTTCAGAGTCCACACACTTAAGCACCCCTGCGACTGGAAGAAGGAAATACTACTTTTCCCTTGGTAAAGTCAACACAGCAGGCACAAAGAACTTGTCAGAAGTCCATTGATTTGAAATGGGCTCTGGGAAAAAGATGAGTCAGAAACGGATCCGCACCTGAGGACTCTCACCAGCTTCCACTTTTTCAATCAGATCAATTCAAAATCTGAGCTGGCAGGAATTCCAGTTGCTAATCATTGAAGTGGCCCTCAGAGGGGGATCAGATGGCTGTTCACAAATTTCCTATCTCCAGCGAGTGTCAATTGGCCGGTGTCAATTGTCTGGTTGTTATCAACTCAAGCAAAGCAAAACCCAAACTCTGACCCAAAAGGGAGCCTGGGGGAAGATATGTATACATGTATATGGATATATATATATATATACATATATATGGAGTAATGAAGAGACTAATGAAGAGAGAAAGTGTGTGTGTGTGTGTGTGTGTGTGTGTGTGTGTGTCTCGCTTCCCTCTTCATTAGTCTGTGTCTGCGACTTAAATAACCCCCCCCCAAAGCACTCTAAAGCCCTAAGTCGCAAAGCCTTGGACTGAGACGGATCAGTTAGGATCCAGCAGTGCCCGCCTAGGAAAACACGCGGTGCATCCAAAACGTGCATCGATTTTCCTTTTGCAATCCTTTTGCAACCCCTGCCCCCCGCCATCCCCCGCCCCAACGCAGTCCTCCAAACTGGGGCTGGAGCTGGGGCGAGGGGAGAGGCGGTATCGCGCCGAGAGCCGTAGCCCCTAATTCTGTCCACCTGGTAGAAAAAAGGGGGGAGCGCGGCAACCCCTCCTCAGACCGATCAATTCTTTCCGAGGTGACGTCGACTCATCAAGTGACCCTCTAATGCTCGCGCGTTGGGAGTTGGTGGGGAGGGATTGAGGGTGTCCCCGGAGACCCTCAACTAACTAGCTACGGCCTCTGACAGTTTTGTTAAGCCGTCCAGCAGGCTCGTCGCCTGGGTCTTCCCGAACCCGACCCCGTGGTTCGCTAGCGCGATCCCCCTTCCCGGACACCTGTTGCCCCTCCAAGCCTGCAGCCGGGTGGGCCAGCGCTAGGCAGGCGGGCGTGATTTCACCTTGACAGCTCCGCGGACCAATCAGAGAGCGCGGGGCGCCCGCGGCGAGCCAATTGCGGGGCGCCTCGGACCTGGGTGGGGGGCCGCTCGAGAAAAACCCAAGCAAAGCCCGGGTTCGACTCCGCGGCACGCGGGATTGTTTCACTCCCCGGGCCCGCAGGTGAGACGCGTGTGCGGTCTCTCTCCGAGCGAGGGCCAGTTCGTTCAGATTCGCGAGGCCCAGAGAAGGCGGCGCACGGGGGAAGGACTTACCAGTCTGCGCGCGGGACGGTCACTTCTCCCGGCGGGGCGACATCGCGGATTCAATCAGTGGCGGGCCGCCACGCCCCTGCCCAACCGCCGGAGCCGCCTCCGCCTCAGGGTTCGCTGCGGCTCGCCGCCGCCTGTTTCGAAGGGACCAATCAGAAGGCGGGGAGGGGGCGTGGCTTGAGGCCCCACCCACCCCCGCCGGGGCCGCCCGGGAGCACGCGACCTGCGCGTGCGTTTTGAGTCAGTCGGAGGCGCGCCGCTGGCTGTAGTCCGGCTTGCTGGGCTTGGAAAAGCCCGTTTGTCGTGAAAACAGCTCAGGGTGGCCCAGCCTGTGAGAAACGCCTCCTTTCTGGCCGCTCAGCGCCCGAGAGCGTCTTCCTTCCTTTTTTTTTTTTTTTTTTTTTTTTTTTTTTTTTTTTTTTGCTTTTTGGGTCACACCGGCAATGCCTAGGGGTTCCACCTGGCTCTGCAATCAACAGTTACTCCTGGCGGCGCTCTGGGGCACCTTATGGGATGCTGGGAATCAACCCGGCTCGGCCGCGTGCAAGGCAAACGCCCTACCCGCGGTGCTATCGCTCAGACGTCTTCCACTAGCGTCTTCCTTTTCGCCCCGACAGGCTCTGAGTAGATCACTTCTTAAGCCGCCCAGACCGTTGCCTGGTCAAGTGCCAGGGCGTTTGCCAGGAGTTTTATTCGAATGCGTCAAGAGCCAGTCCCAACACTTTTTTTTTTTCCCGGTCCCAACTCTTAAATCCGCTCGGGATCTGATTGTCCACAGTTTCCGGAGACAAACTCTGTCACTAGGGGGTGGGGGGGAGTCTGGCGATCCTGAGTAGAACGCTTTCCTAGAGATGCTCCCCTCGCCCCCTCACCCCTTGCCATCAAGGATGGAGGGGCGCAAGGTCCAGAGGAATCCCTGTAGCTCTGGGGCACGGCAGAGCGCCAGGAGGGCGTTTGCGCTGCTTTGAGGAAACCCCGGAGTCGCGGGGTGTGGCTGGGCTAACGGCTACCCGGAGGGGGCTGCTGACTGGCTGAGAGGTTTGAGGGATGGCACGTCGGTCGGGATAGGTCGTGCTCGGGGAACCGTGCAGAAAGCCTGTTCGCGCTAGCAGGGAGGGGAAGTGCGGGGAGGTGGCCCAAAGCTCGGAGGCTACCTCAGTGCTTCTGCCAGCACCGTGGCTTTTCTGGTTCACTGTGCTGTGAAGAGTACTCGTACTTTTGAATGGCTACCGTGAGAGGATTGGGAGAGACATCCACTCAGAGGCGAAGGCATAGGTGACTATGCCAGTAGGCGCTGTAGAATTTAGATTCTTGACGTATGATTTAAAATTGGTTGAGCCAGAAATTGGCCGCGAGTGTGTAGGAGACTTGGGGGACTAGCTCCAGCACCGCATGGTCCACAGAGTACCTCTGGGAGTGGCCTCCCCTGAGCACTGCTGCGTGTCACCCCAAAACAATAGTAATGTGGTTATAACAGTGGTAGGAGGAATGTGTGTTTTAGGGGGATTTTTTTTCTTTTTCAAAGAAAGGAGCAGGACTCGCAGTGATTCTAAAATTGTAAAAACTGGTCATTATCAATGTAGCTCCAAAGAGGTGTTGAGGAGTGTCTGAAGCCACCTCAGAAGACTGACTTAGCTGCCTTGGTTATCCTGAGCAGCGGTGCAAGCTAAGGAATACAGGGAGAATAATGCTTTTGGTTTGAGGTGTGTTTTCGTCTGAAGAGAGAGGAAAGAGTAAGTGGAAGAGTTAAGATATAGCACTAGGCTCTATCTTAAACTGACAGGATTTGCTTTCACAGATTTTACTTCCTGGCTGGATGGGTAGAGAAGGGTATCAAAAGTCAGGCAGATATCAGGTCGTGAAACCTAATATTTGAGAGCAGGTGCTCCCCCCCCCCCCCCCCACAGTGGAAGCTGAACCTAGAACTCCATCGGCTTCCTGAGTCTGAATACAGAGCTTTTCACAGGACCTCTAAGTAATTAAAGTTTCCACTAATGAGCTGCAATCCACTTTCCAAGTCATGTTGGATTTTATGGTGTTTTCTTTTTAAAACTGAGGGTGGTATGTCAAACCACTTCACTTAGCTAAATGTTGAAGCATGACTTTAAATTAGAATTGTTGAACCCAAACATCAAAATACTTGCACTTTCTACAGAATCTTAAGAATTAATGATTGTGTTGTAGATACTGCTTGATACTACTAGTTGTTAAAACTTATTTCTTCGTAGACAAACTGTGATGCCAACACATTTGTATGGCATTTGTATAACAGTGAAACTATGCTATATGAACTATGTGTTCATCCTCCCCAGACACACAAACACTGCTTCATATTTCTCCAAGACATTTACTAAAATGTTAGTAGATTACTTTTGTTAATTCCCATAGTCTATTGGTTTCTCTTGGTAATTCCTCTTATTAAAAATCTGGATGGGAGAAGCATGCTGAAAGTAGACTATAGACCAAATATGACTGCCACTCAATGCCTCTCTTGCAAACCACAGGACCCAAGGGGAGAGAGAGAGAGAACAAAAGGGAATGCCCTGCCACAGAGGGAGGGTGGAATGGGGGTATGGGGGGTGGGAGGGATGCTGGGACCCGTGGTGGTGGAGTATGGGCGCTGGTGGAGGGATGGGTACTTGATCATTGCATAACTGAAACACAAACAAAAAAACTTATAAGTCTATAACTGTACCTCATGGTATTTCACTAATAAAAAATAAGTAAATAAATAAATAAAAATATTGGGACGCACACACACAAAAACTGTGTCAACCACTTCTTTCTGAATCCATATTCTCTGGTTAAATGTGAAGATTGTGCGAGAAGTTCCTACCAAGATTTATTTGCTGCTGCTTCTTTTCCCCCTTCTGCAAATGAAAAGAAGTGCTCCTTGCTGCTTTCCCCCACTTCACTTTTACACTAATTCCCAGTTAGAACCTCCTTCTTACCTATCTTGATTTTAACACTGCAATTAGTAATTAAAGGTTCCACTAATGAGCTAAATCTACTTTCATGTGTAGTTTTTCTAATTGGTGGTTAGGTTAATAACCATCTTAGAGGTTTTTCCTTCACTTGAAATGGGCATGGTTGTAACATGTAGAGTAAGGCACACTGGTGTGGTCCATCGGCTGATAGTCTACTCTAACTTACAGAATTGTGAGTATGTGCTCCACTTGGGAAAAAAAAGCCCCATGCTTGGAAATATGAATCCTAACAGTATGAATAAGAATACCGAGAGTCTCTTATAATCAGTAAAAGGTAAAGGTAAAGGCCCTCCCGTTGATCGTCGATTTGCTCAAGCGGGCCCAGTGACGTCTCCATTGGAGACTTTGTTGTTACTGTGTCTGGCATATCCAATACTCTTGGTAGCTTGCTGGGCTCTCCAAGAGGGGCGGAGGAATAGAACTCGGGTCGGCCATGTTGGCCGCTTGTAAGGCGAACGCCCTACCCGCTGTGCTATGTTTGAATCTCATGACCAAGATGCATGATGCTCTGATTGATTATGCCCGTGTTACATTTCCAGCTTTGAAGCTCAGGACATAATCTACCCCTTCCAAATATCTAAGGACTAGGGAAGAAAAGGGAGTAGTTCCCCTAACATAATCTGAGTACAGGTTATGAATTCAGGTTCCCCCAGATAACATATATCCACTAGAGAAATGAACACCCAAATGTAATATGTAACTATTCACTAAATTTACGATCTTCCCCAATGGGGGTGGTAGGGGGGAAGAGAGTCAGTTGTGGTTCTCTTAAAACAAGGGAAAGTAAAATTCTGTCACCACAGAATGACGAAGGAGTTCATTTTCAGATTCATAAAGAAAGAAAACAGTTTGAAAAACAGGTGCTAAGACCCAGAGCCTGGATTCACTAAGAAAATGATGGCTCACGGTATTGGCATGAACTAGAAAGCCATGCCATGAAAAGATGATGGTGAAGCGAGGTTTAGTCTGGAGGAAGGACAATGCATGGGTGGTGTCTTTCTGGGATGGGGGAGTAAAATCACATATCACAGGCCTCTGCTTTCCTGACAGTTTTGGAAAAACCCTATTCGTTGAAGGATACTTAGCAGCATCTCTGGCCTAGACTCATGGGACGCCAGAATCATCCACCTACTTGGCAATGACCAACACTGTCTCTAGATAGAGCCCAGTGTCCCGTGAGAGACAAATGACCTCAGTTGCAATCCACACAAGTAGAGACAGGAAGGAAAAAAGAAAAGCAGCCCTTTTGTGTTTTTCTCTCACCTTCTTTTCTCACTCAATTTGAGACTATGACTCTTAAAGATGGCCATTACATCTGAAAACTAGAATTTAGGCTAGAACAGAAGACAGGATCGGGTAGGAACAGATGGTTTAGTTTCAATAGCCAAGTGCACTGCCACAGAATTGAGAGTTGGTGCTAAAGCCTATGAGAAAGCCCTGTGGAGGGCATGTGCCAGATTTGCAGACTTTGTGAGAAATGATCCAAGGAAGTACACATCTGAGGGAGTACACATCTGATAATAGCATTATCACAGTACCCATTTCCTTTTCTATGTTATTTTTGGTTTCTGGCCACATCCCGCAGTGCACAGCACTTATTCCTGCCTCTGTGCTCAGGGATCATTCCTGGCAGGGTTTATGGGATCATGGTTTAGAGTCAGCATGTGCAAGACAAATGCTTTAAACTCTACACTATATCTCTGCCCCTCATTTCATTTTAATATGCGTTTTATGTATCATACTTCTATGACTTCATTTCTATCTCCCCTGCTGGGATATCAATTCCATGGAGTTCAAATTCTATTCCTGTTTCACTTGCTACCATCAATCACTCCATTATATCAAAGCTGAAGACTTTGAAAGAAAATACAACACCAACTTATGACAGTTCATGTTTTTATTATAATAATAATAATAATAGCTACCATTTGGAGATGTGAAATACTAGCAAAGGCTAGTAGGGAAATTGCTTCTGAGACAGTGTGAGGTCTAATTTTCACACCAGCCCTGGAAGGTAGGAATAGCATATTGTGCTCGTTTTACATATAAAAATACAGAGGCTTATAAAGATTAAAATATTTTTCTGCTATTCTATCAGTGATAAGCTTTATCTTACCTTAAAGCCAAATTCTGCCATATTTTCTTGTGAGCATGATAACTGATTACAAATTTTATTGTCATTTGTTCCTTGGCTGTAAATCCCACAAAAAAAAAATCTGGAGGAAAAATGATCCATAGTGGAATGTTGCTACTCGCAGTTTTGATACCAAATAAATGTCTTTTGGTTCATACCAACAACCAATTCTGGTATCAAAGTTGCATATCCTGCAACTCAATTCTCAAAACTATAGTTCACACTAACATAAATGAAGGGTTTGGTCCCACAGACTCTCTCTACCTCACAAACCCAAGGTTGTCGCAGGTATATCTGACCAGCTAGCTATAATCCATGACTTACCACCAATCCCCTATTCATGTTCAATAATTTGCGATTATGACTCATAGAATTTATGAAAATGTCTCACTCACTCCCTGTACTATTGCCAGATAACTTTAACACCTAATGAAAAAGCATTGTCTAGGAACATGGGTGGGGTGGGGGCAGAGAATTGCCTAGCACCTTGATATGCTCACCAACTCAGCAGCCCTTTAACCCCTGCCATTTGGGGGATTTCCTACCAGTACCATTTCATAAGCATGGTTGATTAAACCACTGGTGATTCTTCAGTCATCTGCAGTGGGGGAACCCTTACAACTCTGCAATCACAAGCTTGACTCCTCTGCTAGCCCTCCCTTTGCCTACAGTGGGGGTTGGGGGGAGGGGGACATACAAGAGTCACCTTATTAACATAAACTCATATCTGGTTAGAGGGAGCTCCTTCTTAAGAATCAACCAAAGCTGTCCCTACCTTCCTCTCATTCTGGTAATTCCTGGAGTTTTAGAAGCTCTATGTTAGGAACCAGGACTAAAGGACAAATGTTTCTGCCTATTGTATCGCAAGTTACCCACCTGAGAAGCACTTTCTTTTGCTATTACAAAGTCCTAATCATGTGAATAGAGCCAGTCCTAGGGGATGGACTTAGCTCTGTGTTCAGTGTCCAGATTTCAGTTCCAACTCTTTCCCAACCATTGTCTTAACAGATGCATTCTGATCTAGAGACACCAAACCATGCTCAATTCCGCAAGTTAGATTTACTCCTTTAGGCATTCCAAAATGTACTTCTGACTTAAAGGCTTTTTCCCTCATCAACCCGTACATACGACTGCGGGTCCCAGAACTTCTCACTTTCTCTTCATCGACAACTATCCCCTCATCAGAAAAATCCCTTCCAAGGGAAGCAATAATGGCTTCATTTTACAGTGGTCAGAGTCACTGTATGGCACAGGGCACTCTTCTTCTCTTGCCCAGATTACTTTTGGGATCTGTGTTTGGTTTAGGTGGTCCTGTTTAGGCAAAGTATGTGCTCTAGCACTCAGCTACCTAGCCAGTCCTTGTGTTCTTATAGTCACATAATTCCCTGCCGTCTGCCTCCCCTCTCACCTGAATCTTCCATCGTACCCTGGGCCTTGGGAGAAGCCCAGCTGTTTGGCCAAGGGACCTTCTCAGATACCCCATAACACTCTCTCCAACTGTTCCGTAAGCTCTTCCAGGCAGTAATTGTCTCTTTGTCATAATACTGTATCCCCAGGAAGTTTAAAGAAAAAATCTTGCACATAATAAGGAAACCGGATATTTTTATCTAGGCAAATAGAATCAAACTAATGCTAGCCCCAACTCTCCCTCTTTTTCACAGACTATTTTTAGAACTTCAGGGTTGTCCTTGAGTTTTATTGAAAACAAAAACAAAAATCCCCACTTTGCTAGCTAAGCAAGCTCCACTTTGGCTGCCTTCAGGAGAAAGGGAGATAAAAGCTTTCTTAAAGGTGTTTTTATTGTATTCACCAAAGAATACTGAGAGAAAAATGCTACATTCTCCCCCACACTCAGTGTAACAATGAAGGAAGGAAATGAACTAATTCCTGCTTTGGGGGAAATATACAACAGCTGTGCACCCAGCTGCAGGAGTGCTTTCCAAATGCAAAACAAACCAAAAAAAAATTAATTATATGCACTGAAGCCAACAGTGAGCACTTTTAAGAGAGAAAAGGGAAAGCATACGGATATGACTGTATTTATATGGCTAGATGGGTTCAGAGTGTAAATGCTACTTCAATACGGGAGCTCTGGGAAGAATTGCTTGAGGAAATATTTTACACTGAGAATCATTACTAACTTTTCTGAATGCCACTTCTTTGAACTTCAAAGAAACGGAAATGATCAGAAGACTTTTACAAATGAGTGAATTTCACCAGGGCTTCCACAGGAAAGAGAAAAGTAGCTTTTCTATAGTGAGAGTTTATCTCTTTGAAAACCATTCCCTTGAGCTCCTAGGATGTCATTCATCACTGACTGAGAGTTTTGTGTAATTGTCAATTCTGCTCCCAAAGAAAAGCTTGTTGCCATTGTGTTGAGTTTATTGCCAAAATTGCCACAGCGCTTTAATAAAATATTTGCATAAGGTAAGATGAAGAGCAAAACTTTACCTGTTTTCAACAGACAGTATGGCAGTAACAATTTAAATAGGCGAAACAGGGGGGGTGCAAATTAGAATGAAAGGGTCCCTGTAGCCTCGCAAAATTAGAGAAAATAATTCTACAGAAACAAATCCACCTTTACATTGTGGCACTCATATCACCACTACATAAATATTCATCGGAATTCTGACTTGAAACCAGGTACAAATGAAATAAAGCAAAGTTATATGACCAACAGGTAATTTGGAGGAAAAGAGTTGAGTTGGCTGGCTCCCCGTGATGTCCGTCACTGTACATCCCAGATTTCACAGAGGAGCGGGGTGAATTTGTGGTCATTCACTCTCCAGGACATCAACATCTCTGCGTGGTGATGATTGAATGTCCGAAGCTCAGTGAGGCGACCCAGGAGACAGGCAAAGTGTTGAGGGTTTTCAGGCTGATAAATTTTACACAGCTTCTGTAGTACATCAAGCAGGGGTTCCTGAAGTTTCTCTACAGCTTCTCTGTCTTTTATGTATTGTCGGTCTGTTTTGACGTTCAAAATAATAAAAATGAAAAAGCAGAAATAATTTGGTATAAGTCCAACATTGTTAACTTTAAAAAAACTGTAACTAACGAATGTTGTGCACTTCAGAGGTAGAAATGAAGTTTTCGATGTGCTATGTTTTTACCCACACATGGAATCACAAGTAGATTGAGATAGAAAGTACTCAGTGCTCTTGGAACAGAGTTAACTCAGCCAAGTGCAGCGCACGGGGAGGCTGGGGTTTGCTTTTGAGTGGCACGTGGTCTCCAAGCATAGAACTAGGAGTAGACCCTGAGCAACTGTGGATGTGGCCCCCAAACAAAGGGTTTCTACTCCTCATTCAGACTTTCCTAAATCATCCTTTCTAGATTAGCAGAAAAGTTTCACTTCTGCTGTCTGGAAGGCAGGTTCCAAAAAGCAAAATCACTGGATTGTAAGACACATGTGTATGTACCAATTTAGAGTGCACTGCTGATATATTTTTTTAAAATTTGGTGCCATGCAAGTGCTTTAGTGCTTAGTGCTAATATGTTTAGTGTTCAGGGCTATTTCTGACTATGTGCTCTGGGGTCACTCCAAGCAACACTCAGGGGACCAGGTGGTGCCAGAGATTGAACCTGGGCCTCCTGCATGAAAAGAGAGTACTGATCCTGTTGAATTTTCTCTCTGGCCCTGGAAAATTGTTTCTGTATTAATTCTAAATAACTTTTGCCTCAATACAATGCAATACATGCATAAAATTTATTTAAAATTAGTATTGTCTTTAAGTGATAATAATGCTTTAAAAATCATGAGCATGGCATTACTTATTCCCAAAATAATTAAGAAGTTCAAAAAGAGACAAATGGGCTGGAGCGATAGCACAGAGGGTAGGGCGTTCGCCTTACACGTGGCCAACCTGGCCGACCCGAGTTCGATTCCTCCGCCCCTCTCGGAGAGCCCGGCAAGCTACCGAGAGTATTCGATATGCCAGACACAGTAACAACAAAGTCTCCAATGGAGACGTTACTGGGCCCGCTCGAGCAAATCGACGATCAACGGGAGGGCCTTTACCTTTACCTTAATATGGGAGTATTCAATTGAACTTTGTTTAAAACAAATTAGAAACATCCTCAATATCCAACTGTAGGTAAAAATAAAGCAATTGTACATCATTACAGTGAGGCATGCATTACAACAGATTAAGCAATATGATTTTCTAATGATGTGAGAAAAGACTTCTGAAGAAAAGTACAATTTTTAAGAAGACAATTCTCTAGTATGTTAAAAAGTACATAATTTCATGTAGGTGCCTTCTGAAATGTCAGCTCCTTAGAAAGATTTCTCTTGTCACCAATTAAAGGGGCCAGAGAGATAGTACAATGAGTGGGGTGATTGCCTTGCAAGTGGTGAAGATCCCATCACTACACATGGGCCCCTTAATCCCTCAATATAAAGGATTAAGCCCTGAGCACCCCTGGGTGTGACCCAAAAAAACAAACAACAGCATCAAAAAAATCTACAGTCACTTTCTTCCTTTTACATCCTCATCTTTTTTAGGTGCTAAAGAGCCCCAGGGTCTCTCCAGTGATGCTGGCAGTTCAATGAGGATTTGGTGCTGGTCAGGCCCTGCAGTTCTGGGGCCCTCCAGGCTGACCCAGGGCATGACACCATGTGATACCAGGCATCAAACCAGGGTTGGGCACATGCAACGCAGAGACCTTAACTCCTGAACTAACTCTTCAGCACTTTATATTTTTGTAGCTCTTACTGCCACTTTTGGTGATTTCTTCATTGTCTTTAAAAAAAATTAACATATTTTTGAGTAACATAGTTGACAATAGCACTAACATTTATGCTTTTGCGCTCTTGTCTTACTGCACGACCATCACTACCAGAGTGCCCAAATTCTCCACTTCATCCGTAGGTGAGGACCACACTAGGCAGTGCTCAGGGCTTACTCTGAGTTCTGAACTCCAGGGATCATTCCCGAAAGGGCTCAGGGACCATCTGTGGTGCCAGGTTTTGCCTTACCAGCTGTACTGTCTCTCAGGCCCTGCCTAGACCCCATTTCTTTTTTGTTTTTCCCCACCCCATTAAGATGTAAGCTTTATGTAGCTGTCTCCTTCCTACAGTTTGTTGCTGTGTCTCCAATGTCCAGTACATGGTAGATGTTCAAAATCCATTTATTAAATGACTGTGAGATTTTGGGGGGAAATTCCTAAAAATACACTACACTGAAAATTTATGATGGGTACATTTGAGTGGTGGGATTATAGATTATAGACCACTTTAGTTATGCTTTTGTGCTTTCCAGATTTCATTTAATAAACATTATTGCCATTATATTGGGAGAAAGGGCATGAAAGTAAAAATGCAATGTTGAATTTACCTGGAGAGAGGATAACAATTGCTGTAAGCAGAGCATATTCTTCTTGAGTCATTTTTAATTCTCCAACACTTTTATAAAAACTAAACATAGGTGTTATATATTCATCAGAGATACCTAGGGAGGAAAATTGAAAAACAGCAGAGGCTTTATCAAATTTCTGAAAGATTAAAAAGCATAAAACTATAAATACATTATATGCAGTTATTAATATTTACTCTATAGCACATATTCAAAAAATAACAATATGCTACACATCCCAGAGGCAGGAGATCATAATGAAGATCAGGTAACAAAATATGCCAAACATTACCTAAATTTTTTTTACTTTGATTTCTATCACTATAACCTGGCAGTGAATGATGATGTTCTTTGAACTACCAAAAGAGACTGCAGAGGTCCCAATTTTCTAGATGGGTTGGGCTAATCTAATACTATCAATTGTAATATTACTGTAACATGCTCAGACAAGCCTCATTCATGAAGTAACCGGCAGAGGAACCCAGGTGTGCAGGACCTGGGGCTGAGATCTCCAAGCCTGCTCGGATCGGGACTGGGCCTCCTCCACCCAGATCCCCCATCTTCCAGTAGCTAGACATTTGCGCCCACCAACTGCTGTGTAATCCCACCAATCTCCAAGATCCAGAGACTATAAAACCAAGCTCTCAGACCTTTTATTGTCTAGTTTTTGCTCTCAGATAACCTGGCAGGTTTCCGAAAGTATCCTTTCCGCATACATGCCTGACTGGGAACTAGGTGACTAGAGGCTGCCCAAAAGCCTTCATCCCTCTCGAAGAGACTGGCAAGCTACTGAGTGTATCCCGCCTGCATGGCAGAGCGTGGCAAGCTACTTGTGGTATATTCCATATGCCAAAAACAGTAACATTGATGGTCCTCATGCCCCTCATCCTGAAAGAGCCCCCAATATGCCATCCGGCTACACTAGCACGTGTCAGGGATGAATGGAGACGTTACTGGTGCCCACTGGAGCAAATCAATGAACAATGGGAGGACAGTAATACAGTGATTACAATTGTAGCACTGTAGCACTGTCCTCCCAATGTTCATTGATTTGCTCCAGTGGGCCCAGTAACAATGGGAGACTTGTTACTGTGTTTGGCATATCAAATACAGGAGCTTGCCAGGGTCTGCTGTGTAAGCGAGATACTTGGTAACTTGCCAGGCTTTCGAGAGGGGCGGAGGAATTGAACTCGGGTCTGCCCAGTCGGCCGCGTGCAAGGCAAATGCCCTACCCACTGTGCTATCATAATCAAGGCATGGATAAAATGTCTTTACCTAAAAAAAAAATAGCGACTTCAGTCCAGAAGTATCTGATCTCACTCTGAAATACTAAATCTGCCGATCCGTTGCCTACTTGCATGAGTTTTTTTTTTTTTTGCTTTTTGGGTCACATCCGACAATGCACAGGGGTTACTCCTGACTTTGCACTTGGGAGTTACTCCTGGTGGTGCTCAGGGGATCATATGGGGTGCTGGGACTCAAACCCAGGTCGGCCCCATGCAAGGCAAATGCCCTACCCACTGTGCTATTGCTCCAGCCCCCTTGCATGAGCTCTTGACTGTTCTCTTCAAAGCCATTATGTCCAAGAGAAAAGAACTAAACTGTCTAGCTTCTTCCCACTCCCCTTTTCTGCTTTTTCATTTTCATTTATTCTCATCCACACCTGCCACATGCCCACACCTGACCACTTACCCGGCCCACCCTCAAACTAGGTCCTGTGGACCCAGCCTGCTGATTCTCACTTGCAGCCGCTCCTCCCCACAGACTCGGCAGTTCTAGAAATGACTGCAGGGGCCCCTCTTCCTATCTTTAGCTCTCTTCCCGTTATTCTGAGGCAAGTGGTCAGGGAGGGGGTCCCGTGTAGTGAATTTTTAGACCACATGGGTCTCAGGAACAGCCTCCTGGCTGCCTTAGTACAGCAGGTGAAACTTTCACGTCTGTGCAGTGCAGAAGCATGACTGGAACTTGCTATCAGTCCTAATCTCCTCAGCGGGTATCCCACTGCCATCAGGAATCTCTAAACTTCAAACTTCCCAGTTTTCTTCTTCTTCTTCTTTTTTTTTTTTTGCCACCCTTGGTGATGCTCATAGGTTACTCCTGGCTCTACACTCAGGAATTACTCCTACCAGGTCCTAGGGGGCCCATATGGGATGCAGGGGATCCAACATGGGACGGCCACTAACTAGGCAAGTGCCCAACCTCTGTGCTATCTCTCTGAACCCTGAACATTCCAGCTTCTTGCAAATCTCCACTGGACAGGCTTTCGGCATCAGGCTTCTTCCTCTGACCGAGGAAACTTGACTTCTGCCTAGCCTGCCATTGGTCCTCGCCCACCACATCACAGTAGTTCACATTTATTGAGCACTCCTGAATTATGCACCCTCCCTAAGTCCTTTTTGCTAGGGTGTGTATGTGGGAAGTAGGTTTGGATCACCCCTGGCAGCATTCGGGGGACCATATGCAATGCTGGGGATTGAACTGGTTTGGGTCTCATGCAAGGTAAGAACCTTAATCCTGGTACTGTCTCTCCATACCCCAAGTACTTCTTTTTTTTTTTTTAATTTTTTATAATTTTATTTATTGAATCACTGTGAGAGCAGTTTCAAAGCTTTCGGGTCTAAGTCTCAGTCATACAATGAAACACCCATACCTTCACCAGTGCCCATTCTCCACCCCCAACAACCCCAGGATACCCCCATCCACACCCTCCCCCTACCTGTGGGGCAGATGATTTCCACATTACTCTCTCTCTACTTTGATCACATTCAATATTTTGACACCAGACCCACCATTATTATTTGTGATTTTACCCCAACACTCAGATCTGGTGAAAAGGCAACCATAGATAATTTGTTTTCTATTGCTGGTTATGAATAACATATGATGTCACATGGCTGCACTAGAGGCAGTGCAATTTTGAAATTCCAAAATTTTAACACTTAAATCTGGAGGGATTTCTGCAAAACCTGCTGGGTTTCGAGATTTGCTCCTGAGTCTCTGGGATCATGGCCTTTAAGCAGCTTGATCAGGAGCCAGAGAGGACATTGGTGGGCTATGACTTGGGGTCTCGTTGGGGTGGGGAGGACAGGACCGGCTCCACCTCCATCCCATGAGGCCCAAAATGTCTTGTCACTGAGGGCCCAAACCAACTGTCCAGTGGCCTCTGGAAGATGGCAGCCACCGGGCCGCCAGGGGGAACAGGCCAAGGCATAAAACCTATTCCCACTTGGGTTGACCCAGCACTGGTAACCTACTGCAGGGACCGGACGCATTTCTGCCAAAAGCCGCTGGATTTTGAGATTTGTTTCTGAGTCTCTGGGATCATGGCCATTAAGCAGTTCAATCAGGAACCAGAGAGGCCATGCCTCCAATTATATAGCTGAGCTGGAGGTGATTTGTGGGTGTGTTTCCCACATACCTAACTTTCGGCAGTTTACTTTCTTGGTAAACTTTTCCCCAAGTTTTTGGGGTTTGACCAAAGGCACAGCAGCAATTTTGGGGTATCTGGAAGTCTGAAGGCGCCATGAAGCTGCTGATGCACTCACCTCACAGGTACAGATTGACCTGCTGGCGGCACCATACCCCTTCCCAAGTACTTCTTATAACTCATTCTCTTTCTCTAACACTTCAGGGGTAAATACAGAAAGATCATATAACTTGCCCTTGGAACCAGAATTCAAACCAAAGCGTAAAGGCTTGTGAGTCATGCCTCTCAGCAGATACCAAGCCACACAATCTATCACCCAGAATTTCCTCCAGGTATGCTGAGCCGTGCGGATGTCCCTACGTGGTTCACATGGCCTAGGTTGGCTGCATAGTCTCTCTACTTGGAATCGTATTCATCTTAATCTAGTTTATACTTCCTCAGAGTGTAAAACACTTCGTGTTTTTCAACAAATAGAAGTTTGGTGCTTGTTCTGGGAATGGCTTCAATCCATCCTGGGGGTGGGATGGGGGCTATAATAAAATTAGTGAATAAATGAAGGAAGACAAGCAATGAGGATGGGTTTCTGGGACTAGTCTAGACTCTCTATTGCAAACTTAGAATCTTGAGCATTTTCTACACCAAACCAGAACACTGGGTTCTTGATACTAATAAATTCAGTAACCATTTATAGTACATTTTACAGAGTCCCAAACCGTTTCCCTTTAGCAGAATCTAAAGAGTCTTCTCCAACAGACTCTGCTTAGTCTAAGGACCACACTTTTCTCCCCCTTGCCTTTTGATTCTTTAAACACCCCCCATATTCTCTCCTAACTATAGTATTTTTATTCAACAAATGGAGATTGCATCATGTTCCCATCCAGCTATTTCATACGAATCAAACACGCACCAACCAAACTCAATGCCACTTAAAATGCGGAAGATTTGAGGTATGTGAAACTAGGAACACCTGTACTGATTTCCAACAAGCTGGTTCTGAGTTTGAAATCTGACCCCATGACCTGGGGCACATGACTTAAATTCCTCAATCTTGAGTTCCCTCATCTGTGAAATGTGAGTTATAATGATAGCATTATCTGAGATAATACATGTATAGTACTTAGCATCATTCCTGATTCATAGTAAACCCACAATCAAAGAGCAAAACAATCACAATAGGGCTGTGATTATTGTTATTCAGAAACATTGAATGTACACATCATAAGTTCACCTTAATCTTAGATGAAGCTTGTGCACTTTAATGTTTACTGACAACGTTTTTCTTCCACCTTCCTGTGGCCTCGCCCTTCCCCTGACCCGCCCCATGACAGTCTTGGATGTTTAGAAGCCACACCAATTGGTTGAAAATATATCACAGATATATTTATCCACACAACCACACCTCATGACTGTGTCTTTATTTTCAATTTCAGGGGGCTTCCCAAGCAATGCTATGGACTCCTCCCAGTGAGTCTCCATCATTCAGGTGTGCGGCTCATTGCAGGGCTGAGAATGTGATGCTACTTTGACCCTGTGGTGCCCTGCCAGGAATAACCCAGGCCACCCTACTGTGCTTCGGGGCTCATGGCCATGTCCAGAGATGCTTGGGAGAGTCATGCTGTACTAGGGATTGAACTAAGGTTATTCACATGCTAGGCCTGTACTGTTACCC